GACCTCGGCAAATTTTTTTGAGGATGGCCAAATTATGCATGCGACAAATTGTAAATTATGCAAATTATGCGAATTTTTAGCACTATACCTAATTTTCGCGAAATAACGCGCAGGGCATAATTTCAAATTTTGGCCATTATTCTAAATAACGCCTATGAGCGTTATTACGCGAAAATATGATACGTAAAATGTGCAAAAAATATTTTCTGAATACATATTATTTATGATTTAAAAACTGCATGAATAATTAATATTTTTAAATATCTATTTAGGTTTTTTACCTTGTATATTAATACGTATACAGTAGAGATAGAAAATGTTTTAAAACGGAATGTTTTAATGTTTTAAAACATGATTGATTAATTTAAAACAGTTTTTAAATGATTTAATGCATTCTGACGTAATCATAATACGTAACAATGGGATAGTATTTATTTATTTAACTAATTCATCAAAATACAACTTAATCGTTAACTCTTTTTAAAATATAAAATTATAAACAATCATGATCCATGGAAGGCATCCATTAAAAGAAATTCGCTTGAACTTTACAAAAATTATGGAAACTGCGCCTTGCCAAAAGTGTAACTACCATGGAGAGGACTTTTTGGATTTAGTCGCTTGATTAAAGGATCACTTATATAGAAAAAAGCTTCCAAAAAGTATGAGTAATTTATTAAATAATGAACGAGTAAAAAAACTTGTTGCAGTCTATCAGAATTTAAGAATTTAAAAGGAATTGAGATTGGTGGTTGTTTCGAAGATGACGATAATTAAATTTATAGTTATGTATATTAAAAGGAGCATACAAAAAAATAAAAAATTATATTGATAGTTAAGCAATTGCGCATTTCTTGTAATTATACAATAAGCAAAGTTTATAACGTGAATATTCTTTAAAGTTATCTCTATGAAATTTGGTGAATCGGCATATTAGTACTAAATTTTAAATTTTAGTCTCAGCGCCAATGTTTTAAAAAGTTTTAAAACATCTAAAAAAACTGGTTAACCCTTTTTTTTCATCTCTAGTATACAGTATATGTGTACATAGACCACTTAAAATTGAACCAATATGATCAAAAAATTATTTAAAGTGCCGTGATTGGTATTTGTCCTATCTATATAGAGCTTGGAGCCGGTTTTATTTTTCATATGCTAAACCGGTCAAACCGGGTTAACTAGCGAAAAATATACCGATTCCAAACCCTAGCTTTTTATTCTATTTTGAGCAATTACATTTGCCAAAAAATACGCATATTATGCGAATTATTATGTGAAATGACCTAAATTATGTAACTTTATGTGACGCATAATGAGTATGCGGTACTGGTCAAATTATGAGCATATTATGTCTCATCATAATCCTGGACACCCTAGTTCAGTTTCTTTAATCTTTCCGGGTTGGGTTTGATTAGTGATGTGCCGCGTATAGTACAGTCCGCAAAAAAAATTTTAGAAAATTCTAGAACTTAAAAGTTTCCTTATGAAACCGCCTTTTGTATTCCAAGTAAGGTTACTCCTTGCAAAATTTTGCATATAGATATCACACGTGTACTATACGTACACACACTACACGTACTATACGTACTGTACGTAGATATCATATAAATGGCACATCACTAAACAGGACCAAGGAAGAATGAAACAAGCATCCAATTCAACATAATAGTATAATATACCACCCACAATTAATCCAACTAATCTTCCAAAAACATTTGCCATATAATAAAATCCTACATTCATGGCGACTTTACCTCTATGACAATAAGCTAGTACTGTATGAGAAATGAATGAATTGAAGAATTTATAGCAAAAATTATACGACAGGGTGAAACCCGCGATGCCTGCTAGTGAAATCCGCGTTGATTGGCTAATTTATGTAAAATCCGCGTTGATCAGCTCTTTTATGTAAAATCTGAGATGGTTATGTAAAACCTGATATTTGTAGGTGAAACCCGCGATCAAAGTAAAGAATTTTTTAAAATTTGAGCGAAGATATCTCGACAACCAGCTGATCAAATTATATATATAATTTATTCATTTGAATTCTATGGATCCGTAGAATTAGAATAAAAAAAATTTATCGAATTTAGTTATATGGTTTTCAAGATATCTTCGCTCGAAGTTTTAACAAAATTAAAACGTTTATCAAAATAAAGTTTGCATCAAATTTTTTCTAAAACTTTGAGCGAAGATTCCTAACAACCACGTGATTAAATTTGATAAACTTTTTTTATTTGAATTCTATGGATTCATATGATTCAAATAAAAAATTTTTCATCGAATTTGAACAAGTGGTTGTCGAGATATCTTCGCTCAAAGTTTTAGAAAAATTTAGCGCAGCTTTTATTTTGATAGACGTTTTGATTTTTCTAAACTTTGAACAAAATATCTTGACGACGATCTGACTAAATTCGATGAAAAAATTTGGTTAGGTGGTTGTCGAGATAACTTCCGTCCAAAGTTTTGACAAAATCAAAATGTCTATCAAAATAGAAGCTGCGCCAAATTTTTCTAAACTTTGAGCAAAGATATCTCGACTACCACTTGTTCAAATTCTATGAAAGTTTTTTATTTGAATTATATGAATCCATAGGAATCAAATAAAAAATTTTTTAACGAATTTGATCATGTGGTAGTTAGGAAATCTTCGCTCAAAGTTTTAGAAAAAATTTGGTGCAAACTTTATTTTGATAGACGTTTTGATTTTGTTAAAACTTCGATCGAAGATATCTTGAATATCATATGACTAAATTCGATAAATTTTTTTTTATTTGAATTCTACGGATCCATAGAATTCAAATAAATAAATAAAAATATATAATTTGATCAGCTGGTTGTCGAGATATCTTCGCTCAAATTTTAAAAAATTCTTTATTTTGATCGCGGGCTTCACCCTACAAATATCGGGTTTAACGGATTTTACGTAAATTAGCCAATCAACGCAGATTTTACTAGCAGGCATCGTGAGTTTCAACCTGTCGTAAAACTATTATTAAAAGTGTATTGTTCCATAAAACAGCAAAAAGTGCACCAGTGCCAAGATATAAATCATGCAAAAATTGCCGGTTTTGTATGTACATAGAATGTCATAGAAACATTTCTTACCATCCAACTGGCTCTCTCATATATAGAGGCAAAGGTACCTAAATAAAATTTTAAGTATATGTAATCTTACATATAACATTTTACATCTCTTCCCTAAATTGAAAGAATAGCAGAGTCAAATAAGAAATATCTGTGGGTATGTACATAGTGATAATACCTTATTAATAATTTCTTTAAATGTCAGCCTTTTCTTCGATTTGCTTACAGCTAAATCATGATCAACATAAATCAAAACGAAAGGAATAATTATCAAGTTCATAGTCAACAGTATCAGCAATGCAGGAATATAACCCGTATATAGTAATAAAAGAGCACCCCCAAAAAACCAGCACCAGAATTTTTTGCACCTGTAGTCCAGGCTACCAATTTGAATAATGCAGTTTGATGAAGACTGTTATCCTTTGTCACTAATTTTGTTACAGATTTACCACTTAACTTGACCAAATCTTTCGCTATTCCGCTAAATCCTTGAGCAATAGTTACCGTATAGTTCCAAAAATAAGCACCCCCGAAAATAAGCACCCATAATTTTTTTATATCCGAAAATAAGCGCCCCTTATAATAGTTATCGGATTAGAAACTGGTTAAAAACCGGTTTTCTTGTTCATTTTATATCCGAAAATAAGCACCCCTATAACAAAAAAGGGGTGCTTATTTTTGGAACTATACGGTACATATAATGTGATTATTAGTGAACTCCATGAGCTCCAGTATCCTCGAAGACCGAATAGCATTGTTATTCCGATAATCTGAACAAAAAGACCAGAAACAAGGCAGACTCGAATACCTAGACGTGATCCCATAATACCACCTGTAAGATTTATAATGACTCCAAAAAATTCGTATAATGTAAACATTAGAGATAATTGCAATGCCTATATTTTAAATGCCATGTAATTTTTTTAATTAACACTGATAAATAAAAAAAAGCAGAAACGAACAACATTATTAAATACATTGAAATGTCGATCATATAATTCCAGTAACACAATCATTCGAAGGCTAGAATCTGTAAGTGTGAAAAATATATATACAACCGAAATTACATAAAAATTTCTCATAACTGCCATATTGCTACTTTCTTTTCTCAATTCTGAAGTATTAGAATTCTCTTTAATGTTTATTTTGTGTGGTTCATTTTATAACGAAGTCGATATGTTAGTTTCTCAGTTGATTCAAGCTGTATTCGGACTTTATGAAAATTCTTTCATAAATCATTAGAGTTGAGGTTTATCAAATAATAATAATAATAATAATTTATATATTTGTGCTGCCAGGAGAAAGCCTATAAATTATCACCTTACGGGACTTAACTCCGGTCACTACAAAAATTTGACTTTACAGCTGTTTTCATAATTCCTGGGCCACCCTAAAAAAATTTGCCGAGGTCTATTTAGCCGAAGCCGATAAGTAATTGATTTCGGCATGATCTGTGAGTGATCAGTATGCAGTATATAAAAAGAA